GGGAAGTTATTAATCAACTGGCATAAACTTTTAGTCAAAGATGAATATGCTTTACATCTGCTTAAAACATTGTACCTATGGTCAACAATAATTTATTTTACACTTAAAAATTGGCTGAAAGAGTAGATCTCATATTCAGTGTTCTTTCCCCAATGCAAATGATAAAATAACAAACACTTGAAATAAATAAAATAAAAGGAGCATTGAGCATATTGAAATGAGCAAATGATTGAATTTTATACTGTGTGTTCTTGCAGATGGGATTGCAATTGGCTTATGATAGGTGTGGGGAAAGCAAACATCATGGGCTGTATACTTTTTACTTAAGATACTCAAATTTGTGTTTGGAGGTTTGCCTTTTTGAAATGTGTATTTTTGTATGAATGAATACACTGTGTGGCAAGCAAGGAATCAATGATTGTTTTAAATACACACTGTTCAATTTACATTTCCCTTTTTTGATCCTCTATAAAAGTAAGGCTGTATCATTAAATCTCAGTCAACATTATGTTGCAGGAAGATAAGATGTTAAAGTCTAGGTATATTCCTTTCCATCGATTTAGCAATATAAAGCATACATGCCGTGATATGTAGGACGGTAAGTAGTAAACACATTCATTATTAACTATTTTTAAAATGTCAGTTATCTTAGAAGCTAATTATTTGTCAGTGTTGTAAATGTTATGGTTGATTTCTCTGATGAGTGTAAATGAAGAGGGGCTGATAAATTCCCATGTTTTAAATTTCTGACAGACAGTAGGTGGAGTCATTGTTTAATTTGGGAAATACAGAAACCATACAGAGGAGAACTTGCTTCAGATGAAAGTCAAACCCCTTCCTCAGGGGAGTGGACCATAAGGGAGCTTTGCCCAGCCTGGGGTACCCCTTTCCCAAGTCTTTATAACTCTTATTTCTTCTCAAAACTGTTCATCAGTATCGACCACCTCCAGGAAGTCTTCTAGATTGCCCGGCTAATTCTGAGACTCCTACTCTATATTCTCATGATGCTTAGTCAAATCTCTTGCCAAACACTTTTATAAATGAAAAGATCACGAAGATTGGTTTTCTTTGTCCTCAGTGTTAATAAATGTTTGCTGAGTGAAACAGCCGTTAGGGCTATGAGCTCTCAGGTGGGAAACTGTGTATCTGCTTGTTAATAATCAGAAGATGTCTCTAGTTGCAGTAGACATGCTCAAAACCTATTAATTCTTTTAATTATTTACGTAAACTTAGAAAAGAAAAAATAAGGAAGGAAAGAAAGGAAAGGAAAATGAGGAAAAGGGCAACTTAGCTTAGCAGGGTTGACAGATCTCTAAAAGCAGATTCCTGTGTGCCTGACAAAGTAAGTAGCTTACTGTTGACTAATGGGCTAATTTCATTCTGAAACTAAAGTATTTGCTTTTCATTTTTTTTTGTTTTGTTAGATTGACACTAAGCTGCAAAAATATTATAGCAGAGAAAAGGCAAAGAAATATGTCCTAAAGTATAAATCACACATGTCTGGAGTTACTCATATTTAGATTTTAATCCCTGAATTGAGCTGGGAATCACCATCTATTAATTTTCCTTTTTTACTCTGAAAATTTTTCTGTAAATTTATAATTGAGGATGCAAAGCTTTTAATTGACAGTTGTGTAAGAAAAGGTTTAGCTCTTAGAAACTGATTAAAAACAAATTTTAACAAACCAACCCAACACATAAGGAAAACAAAGATAGAAAATGTCCAGGAAGAGATTGACAAAATGGAGAGGCAACTGGAATCCATGTCATGTAGGAAATAGGGCTGGAAAAAGAGGACCGAAGTGGAATGTCACAGATGACCTTTGACCTGGAAGTCCGTGCAGTCTGGCTTCGGTTCACACGGTCCCTTACAAACCCTCAGAGGCGTGGCAGCAGGGCCTGCTGACAGGAGGCACGCCCATCACTGGGGATGTTTTTAAAATTTGTTATAGTGGTTATTAGTCACAAGTCCTAATAGGTCCAAAATATGTATATATATTGAAAAATATTTGTTCTGAAAGGAAAGATAAGTTAAACAGTGCAGGGCTCATTATAGAACATACCAATAGCACTAATTTCTTTTCTTATATTTAAGAGGGCACTAATTGTATGCCTCTTGAAAGGAGAAAAGTGTAATAAGCTCTAAAAACAGACTTAACCTACTATGTCCAGAGCCAGGAAAGAGGTAGGTCCTGGACTGCTGACTTGCACTTCTTTATGAAGTCGTGCATATTATAGGGGGATTTAAAACCACATTTTCAATGGATGTTTGAGTGGCTTGAAGGGTTCAAAGATAGATGAATAAACTGTGTTATTTTTCCATCAGGAGCCATAGTCCAGTGACAAATGAACCTATAATAACAGTACAGAAAGATAGGTGCTATAACAGAAGCATGTCAAATTGCTGGAGGATCAGAGAGGAGGGGCATTTGCTGAGAAGGGAGGGTCAGGAAAGGCCCTGTGAAAAATGTGAGATTTGAGCTCCAATTTTGGAAGAACGAGTTCATGTTGGCTAGATGAAGAGGAATGAAAGGACTCCAGTGGTAGAATGGTGCAGCTGTCAAACAGCCTGACCCTGCAGGGAATTGCTGCCCCTCGGAAATACGGGGGCAGTAATAAAATAGAGAGTGAAGTGGACAAGCGGAGAGCTGACTGTTCAGTAAAATGATTTGCCTCGCTGGGAGGGCAACGCACAAAACAAGGGCTGAAACAGAGTGATTAGAGCTAAGCATGATATATGAATGAGTGGAAGGCAGAACAGAGAACTAATCTTCTGGATTTTACCTTGTTTATACAGCTTTTTCTGGCGTGTGTCTGGGTGACTTCATGGGTCACGATGTGTCTTTAGTGTAGCATCCAACACCCTGGTGGCGCCTTCTAGCAGCCCTGCCTGCGTCCTGCTGGAAGAACCAAATTTTGGCCTGTTTGCTTTTGGTATAAGTTTTATAAAAACTATAGTAACTGCTGGGGAAATAGAACTTTTTAGTCAAATTTTTCTGCTAGTGGGGAGGATACAATTTTATCAAAAGTGAGAGAAATAATATACTCAATTTTATGTTGTCATTTTTTGTTATTTAGTGATTACATATAATAGCCATTAGATTACAAAGGAAAAAAGCCTTGATTTTCCTGAAGAGGTGGTACCAGCTATGATTTCATAAAGATGGCCAGGCAGATGGTTGAGAGTCGACGGTGGCTTTCTGCCCTTGGCCATCCTGTTGTCCTGGGGCTCCCTGACTTTTAGGTGAACTCCAGAGCCGGTCAGCTCTGCACATCTCACTGTGATAGGTGACTCCGCAGGCTAGTTTTGCCTCTGTTTGGCTAAATTTAGGCAGGTTTCTTCCTGACTCCAGGGCCCTGATTTCTCTTTTCTTTAGAAAACTTGAATTGTAAATTCTTTCTCTGCCCCTTTGAGATGTGAATTTTTTTTTTAAAGTCCTTTGGCCAGTTTTACAACCCAGGAATGTCTTTCTCAAGCACAGCGCAATCATTCTTTTGAAATATGTCATCACTAAAGAGCTTCTAGCCCCCCTGTCCCAGGCTCTGTGGAGAGCAGGAGTCTAGCTTCAGTTAAGTGCCAATCCGCAAACACCGGAGTCCTAATGACGTTGAGCCCCACCCTCAAAGTCCTTCTGTACTTCTTCCCTAGGTCATCTCAGGCTTCAAATCTCTCCCACTTTTTTTTTTTTGGTATATGTGGATTTGAGCTTAGCCTCCCTTGTTGCAGTGATCCTGACCCCTATTGTAATAAATAGTCTTACATGAAGTCTTCCTTTCTCCCTTAACTTGTCTGATGCACTGTGACATACGGTGGGTTTAGAATCACACTGAAAGATATCCACATGAAACTATAGCCTGTAGAGGGGCTGGGAGAAGGTGGAATAGGCCCCAGTTCCATGTATTCATGCTCAGTGCTCAGAGATATGGGAAGTGTAGGCAGGAAGCATATTCTCTCTCCTTGAGGTTTCGTGAGCAGAATGAATCTTTGGGGATTGCTCCACTGGGCTGAAGTCTAGGTCAAAAGATGATTACAAATTAAAAAAATAAAAATTATCAGGGGCAGAATGGTTAGCTGTGCATTCTGAAAGCTAATGTGGAATCTTGAAATGAGAGTGGAGGTAATTATCCCCCTGCATGTTGAAGGAGAACAGTTATTTTTTTCAGAGATAAGATGGAAAATTAGGTTACATAGGCAGCACATCTCTTTTGATGATGTTGATTTTTCATTGGACTTTTTCCCCCCAGCCTTCCAACAAGTGAAGATAATTGAATAAGGGATTTCAATGATTCTTATATGCCAACTTTGCTTGCAAAAACAAAGTGGGTCAAAAATGCCAATGTAGCATTCTACTTTAGTGCAAAGCTGGAAAATAACATAAGCAATTCTCTGACAAATGGCAGCTGTTTTAACTGCAGGATGCAAACTGGCATCTTAGCAGGGGTGTCATTATCTGTAGGCCATTAAAAGTTTGTTTCTTTATTATTTCATTTTTATTGGCAGAGCTTTTAAAAGGGGAAAGATAAACTCCCCAACGGAAGGCTTCATTACTTTTACTACACGAAAGTTGCTCTATTACTAAAAGATATCATGTTATTTGATTAATGTTCTCAGAAGATTAGCTGCAACTTTTTTTATTATTTGCATTTAGAGATAAGAGGGCTATTTCAATGTGTATGTATGTTGCATGCATAATGGAAATGCTAAGAAAACTTTATGTTGTTGTTATCCTTGTTAAAAATTATCTTTACAAGTCATACAAATGATCAATTCATGAAAATTTTTAATATTCTTGGTAAGCTTTGGATGTAATTAGCATCTCAGGGCAAAACACCCTTTATGCACAGGACTCTGTTTATCCGGATGGAAGTGTGTCAGTAAATAGGGCTGATTGAAGTGAATGGCGAAGTATAGTAGATGAGATTAACTTTCATTTCTCCTATTTTGTGTCTCTTCTTGTTTTTTTTTCACTCCTAAGGACCACCTCCCTATTTCATTTCAGGTATTCAGTATCCTGCTCATTGTAATCCAGTCTGCCCTGGAGAGAACATGATAATTACTTGTGAGTTTGTGAATACCAATTGATGCACTTATCTCATTATTTTGTTTGACATGACAACTACACAAGTAGATCAGAACAAAATATGTACACTCAGGATTTTGGCTTCATTAAGACATTTTGCAAGTTATCTCTGAAATATAAACAAGATATCAGTATCCCTACATAGGTTTGTAATCAAGTATCTGGATCTGTAGTGTGCCTATTAATGAACTATTGTCAACAAGAAAAAAAATTCTAGTTACATGAAGCGTAGCTGTATCCTCATTCCTTTAAATTATTTAAAAACTAACACATTTAATGCATATATAGAAAACCCTTTTTTAAAAAATATGATGTGCAGCCTGGGAGGAAAGTGACCTGATAGTGCCCAGTGGCATTAGGACCCCATTAAAAAGTTATCAAACTGCAATATGGTGTTAGATCTAATAAGACTACTTGTAATGAAGATGAACGGAAGATTCTCCACTTGCACTTTCAAATCATACAAGGGTGAGGACAGTCATTGCAGAGAACTGGCTTTTGCAAGGAACTGAGATTTGCTGGGAATACATTTCATATGAAGCATCTGTCTGATGTGGTTGTCACAGAGGTTACTACAACACTGGCTAAACTAATAGAAATGTAGTTCAAAGAAGAAGAGGCATTTTTCTTTTATTTTGTTCTCAGTGTCAGGCTATACTTTCCTGGTTGCTTTTAGCATGAGGGCCACAGTTTAGGGGGCACAGGCACAAGTTGAGGACATTTAAAGGAAATGACTGGAAAGATGGTTCCCTGCTAGACAAGAGCTTTAGGGAGCATTGGAGATCGTAATCTGATGGAGTGAAGTGTGTGTGTGTATGTCTGTGTGTCTGTGTGTGTGTGTGTGTCTGTGTGGCTAGGGGTGTGAATATGAAATGAATATATTGGAACATCTGCATATTCCATTTAGATTCAACAATTATAATTGCCAATGAAAATTTTTAAAAATCTAGAAGGTGTTTCTGAAGAGCTGCCTTAGGATGAAATGCAATTCCTCATATTAGAGGTATATATTCATGATACCTATTTTATATTTCCAGTTAGGTTTATTTTTTGTAAAAATTCAATGTTATTTTTTACTCTAAAACTCTTTTCTTAAATGCTTCTCTGTGCCTCTATAAAAAAGAAAGCTGATGGTGAAAGCTGGTTTTAAGAATGATATTTTTAAAGAGGTGTTGACTGTTTGTCTTACGTAAAAGTTGCCAAAGTTGTCTTATTATATTTCTTATTAGGTGTTTAATTACAAGTTCCATTTATATTTTAACAGCCTCATTTAACCTCTGAGATTGATATCATGTGAGTATCCAGATAATTCTAAGTATATGTGTAGAAAGTAAAAACTTAAACGAGTCATGAAAGAATGTGTATGATGGTTTTTTTCATGTTTCTTTCTTGACTTACATCTCCAGAAGCTGTTCACATTCATCATCTCATGTATAATTAGGATAATTTTTTATTGAATAATGGTTGTGACTCAGTTATGGCTTTGAAGTGTCAAACTTCCAACTTCAACTGTGATACAGAGAAAAGTCCACATTTCTACTCATATTTTTGCCATGAAAGTAGGATTAATTAAAATGATCAATAGTTAATATCAATATAAAGTTTAAAAATTTGACACACAATGAAGTGCAAAATTTAAGGAAATGTGAATACTAAACAAAAAATTAGTGAGCCTTGGCCGTGTGGTTCAGTTGGTTGGAGCATTGTTTTGTGCACAAAAGGTTGCCAGTTCGATTCCTGGTCAGGGCACATGCCTAGGTTGTAGGTTTGATCCTCTGTTGGGGTGCATTTGGGAGGCAATCAATCAATGTTTCTCTCTCATATCGATGCTTCTTTCCCTCTTTCTCTTTGTTGTGAGTGTATGTTCACACAATATAGTCTTTCCTATAAGTTATCCAGGCAACTGCTTGGCTAGCTGCCTACTTAGCCACCCGGCACCAACAAATAGACGAGAGTCAGAAAAGGTAACTACGCTATTCACTCAGCTTTTATTGAATGCACATTCACTCAAACTAGAACGTCAACATATATTAATGTCCTACTCACTAACAATCTAAGAGAAGTATAACACACACAGAGTAGTCATTGGGGAAAAACAAACCCGAGTCCCAGAGTCTCAGTCTGCAGTCTAGGGGACAGCATGGTAGGCGAGGGAGTCATCAGCATCTTACAAGGAAAGATCTCCAGAGCCAGGTGGGCAGCAGGGCAGGTGAAGTCCTCAGCCCGGCAGGCAGAGCCTCCAGTGGCCAGTGCCAAGGGAGATCAGCATGGCATGCAGCAGCACTCTGGTGTGTGGAGCTTGGCTGTGTCAGCAGAGGTCTGGAGCCTGCCTGCCTCATTTATACCTTGAAAGTGGTGTTCTCCACTCTTCTGGGTCTCTTGATAAGTGTCTTGGCACCTCTAATGGCAAGTGGGGAACTTCTCCAGCAACCCATCTATGGGTGGTTCCGCTCTGCAGACATGGCTATTTTGATCGTGTGTGCAGATATCTTACGTGTAGTTCCTTGCTGGATGTGTCTAGCATGACTTAGGTAGTTTCCCTCTCAAACCAAAGTGTCATGGTTGACTGGCAGCCATCTTGGTTGACATGAGTGACTCCACTTTGTTTTATGCTGTCTTGACCAGATCAATGCCATTTTACTGGTCCTGCTCTCCACCCTTTACCTCCCTCCCTTCTTCTCTATCTTCCTTTCTCTCTCTAAAAATCAATGAAAACATGTCCTCCAGTGAGGGTTTAAAAATTAGTGAAAAATGATCAAATTCTGCCTTTATGTGTCTCTCCTTTGTCTCGTGCCACCACAATCCACACTTGAGTAGAACATTCTCATTCTGAAACTGTTTCAACTTTAGGTCCTAGCTTTCCAGCCATCAGCTTCTTTCCATTTAGGGCTGCCAGTGGCTTACTGACTCTCAGCTGTTAGAAGTTCTCTGCTATCTTCCTGAGACCTCTTACCCATTGTCTTTTCTCTTCCATACAGTAGAAAGAGGAGTAAACAGTTGCCTAGATTGTTCCTCTGTGTGAATTCTCTTACCACTTTTATCACTACAATCACCAGCTTCCCTGCAGTTTCATTTAAATTTTTTTTACCTTAGTGTATTATTGCTAATTTAAAAATAACGATATGGCTTACTCATTAAATGTTGCTCTGCTGGTTCCCTTTGTAATGGTCCTAAAAGGTTTCCAGATCATTTACAAACTTGCATCTTGCCTTTCGTTACAGTCCAAGCTTATTATTGCATAAATTTTAATGCATATTTAAACATAACATCATCTGTGGTTTAAAAAGATGTAAGATGATTTTAAAAATAGGAACCTCCAGCTTTGCAGGCATGTAGACTCACTAAATGAATGACTTAATGATTATTTCACTTTTTTATTTGATAATTTCACTTTTTAAGTAAGTTTTACTGAAAATTAGTCTAGATATTTGTCTTGCTTTGTGAGGTGTGTAGCTGAGTGTTAGTTTCTTAGGAAGCTCAGTTCCCATAGAATTTATGATCAAGAGAGGCAGGTGACCATTTTAATTGACTTTAAGATTTCATAAAATAGAATTGCTATTCTTTAAATTCACCTATGTTAGACTGAGTCACTGAAATCTAAATTCTCCATTCCCTTGGAAACATTTACTAACTTGTAGCTAGGACATGCTAAATACTGAGAAATAGTAGATTATTTTTTACCAAGTCTGTATGCTTCTCCTATACCAGTTGAGCCATTTTCTTGCCAAGAATGAGTTGTTAATATGCAAACCTAGTTGTGATAGTTGTATGTATTTTTATAAGTAAATATTATAGAAACTAATGACATTGAATGTGGATAAAAAGAGGGCATTGTTTCTATGAAGACTAAGTGGAATATTTTGGACAGATAATAGAGGTAAATGAAAATAATTCCTTTGAATTGTGTATGGGCAAGACAACTATGAAAGATTGGGGAGATCTCAGATTGATTATTATTGGAGTCTTTAGGTTTTTCACTTTATTTCAATAAAATGCATATTGGGACTCATGGCTTAATGCAAGAAAGGTATATTAGGATTTTGATCAGCAGATTCATTCTTAAGGGCCTTGTCTATCAATATATCGATGAATGTATATGTTTTGAGATATAGTAAAGGAATTTGGTTCTTTTTTTAAAACTAACTTATAAAATTAACCGAGTAACTATTAGCTTTGGCCACAAGGATAAGTAACAAAAACAAACTGAGGATAATTATTTTGGTTCAGAAATTGCTAAAGCCATAAAATAAGACATAAGCACAAAAATTCTTTGGGATAGAATTTATTTCTATTAATTGGGCTGGCAATAAGTTATAGTTAAGTCTTTAGTTTGTATTTTTAAGCATATTTTATTGATTATGCTATTACAGTTTTTCTAATTTTTTTCTCCCCTTTCTCCCCCATCTGCCCTGCACCTCCCTGCTCTCCAGCATTCCCCCCAACCATGGGTGTACATATAAGTTTTTTGGCTCCTTCATTTCCTATACTATTCTTAACCTCCCCACGTCTAATTCATGCCTATCAATTACCCTTCTTATGCCCTGTACCTTCCACTCCATTCTCTCACTCCCCCCTCCCCACTGAAATCCTTCCATATATATGATGTCCATTTCTCTGGTTCTGTCCCTGTTCTAGTTTTTTGGTTAGTTTTAGTTTTTGTTTTTTAGGTTCAGTTGTTGATAGTTGTGTGAGTTTGTCATCATTTTGCTGTTCATAGTTTTGATCATCTTCTTTTTCTTAGATAAGTCCCTTTAACATTTCATGTAATAAGAGCTTGGTGATGATGAACTCCTTTAACTTGACCTTATCTGGGAAGCACTTTATCTGTCCTTCCATTCTAAATGATAGTTTTGCTGGATAGAGTATTCTTGGATGTAGATCTTTGCCTTTCATGACTTCTAATACTTCTTTTCAGCACCTTGTTACCTGGAAGGTTTCTTCTGAGAAATCAGAAGATAGTCTTATGGGAACTCCTTTTC